ATCGGTACGTTGTACATGTTCAATACATCATTTTCATTTCGGTACACAAAATAAATCAAATAAATACATTTCTGGACAGAGGCAGAACCTAAATTCCAAAAAACAAACAAACATTGTTAATTGTGGCTGTGGGTTGGTTATGGCTAATACTAGGTAGTGTCTGTCATACGGGGTGATTTTGGAACGTTTCGGTTTCCTAATAAATTGCACCAACACCGGACAGAGAGAAGGTGATACAACCAGAGCTGTGCGTTGGTGTTATACCAAAACAGGGTATATTGCTGAAAACACACAAGACAACATCATCAAAACGTGTGTATGACCATTAATCTTTCTGTGGCACTATATAGTGAGTGAGTAAATAAGTGGACATTTAGAACACAGCCTAGAAGACCAAAAGTGGGTGTGGTATATATCGGATGTCTGGTTAAACTTCTGCCGTTTATGGACTGTCTGATCCCCCATACTACTTTAAAACATTTAACTATTTAACATTTAACACACATCTTCCGAATAATAATGCAAAACTTCGGGTAGAAAACTGAAATCTGTTTACACCGCATTATCTGTGGGTTTATGTATGTTCTCCCCACCGGTGTAGATTTGGTTTCAACGTTAGTTGGGAGCAAATCAACCCCAACCCCCCCGCCCCCATAAACACACACGGTACTCGCACAATATTGGTAGGAACGTGTCCCTACCGTCCATACCTAAATCTAGCACCTTCAAATATTCATATTCGGGTGGATCCCCAATGGTCACATCACAGAAACGAATGAAACTCCTGTAAGTAATGGGGTAGTCCTATAAAAATGTGCAATCTATAAATCCCTAGCCAGGTCGGTTGGGTTTATCGGAGCATGCCACACGCGTCTGTATCGGTAATGTCAGGGAAGAGATAAGCACTTCCTCAGAGGAAGCTTCAGATGTCGGCAGCCATAACATATCCACCATAAGCGATAAAGATATTGTAGATAAACAAGGTAAAAACGACGTCGATGGTATGGCGGTACTTTGGTTACTTAAAGGCCGACGCACAACACACTGGTGTTCTGTAGGCTACTGTAATCTTACAAAACTTATTTTGCCATTCAGCATAACATTCAGCATAACATTCAGCATAACAAAATCATGCAACAAAGAAGTTATAGGGTATATAGAATATATTAATGGATGGACGTGCATGGAATTTGTGGTCATATTTTATGTTCTTCATCGGTTTAAGAGGGTTCCTAAGGGGATTTTAAGCAAAACATTAAGCCTTGAAACAACGAAAACAAATTATAATTTTATAGTATAATAAAGTCATGTGAACTTAGTCATATTTTCATCAATAAAATTAATATATTTAATATTAATATATTTTGCCATGTCGCCCAACCTGTTTTTAGTTTTAATAACCAACCGTACCATTTTTATCAATATTCCTGCTTTTCTCCACCAATCAAAAATCATAATCAATCAAAATACCTTCTTTTGCATTCAGCCTACCTTCGTTTGGGTATGAGGCAGGCGGCGGGGAGCAGGCGCCTGTTGTCTGAGCTCTCAGGATACTTCAGAGCCTTAATTCGGACTTCTTCCGAAATCGAGCTCAGACGCAGGAAACGAAATCGAAACCGAACCAGCTTGACAAATGAAGCAAATGCTACACTGATCC